TCACATACACACACACACACACACAGCAAAACCCACAAATTTTAAAATGATATTCTGTTTAATTCAAAGTTTTCTAGAGAAACAGACCAATAGTAGGTTTATGTATATACAGAAGGATATATTCTAAGGAATTGACTCAATTATGGAGGGTGGCAAGTCAGTATCTGCAGGGTAACCTGGAGAACCAGATAACAGCTGATGCTTCAGGTCAAGTCCAACGGCTACTTGATACAGACTTCCTCATTGCTGGGGGGTGGGGCAGTGGTCATCTTTTGTTCAATTCAGGCCTTCAACTGGTTGGATGAGACCCACCCACATTATAGAGGACTGTCTGCTTAACTTAAAGTCCACTGACTTAAATATTCATCTCATCCCAAAACACAAACATCCAGGATTGTATATGACCACATACACGGGCACCATGGCCCAGGCAGGTTGACAATATAAAATTAACCATCATACTTTATCTCTGGTTTCAAGCAACTTTATCATATGTCTTTGTGTAAGTTTGCTCATATCTTGTTCTTGAGGTTTAATAAGCTTCCTGGATTTGTTGTTAAATTTCTTCAAGTTTAAATATGCTTTAGACGTTATCGCTTCACATATTTTTTTCTGTCCCTTTTTCTACCCTTTATGTTCACAGACTTCAATGACCCATGCTTGGGGACTTGGACCTGTCCCACAGTTCGTGTTGCTCTTTGCATTTCCCATTTTCTCCTCCCTCTCTCAACACTTTGGATGGTATCTAATACTGATGGCCTTCAAAATTATTACTCTCCTCTTCTGCAATGTCTAATCTGCCATGAATCCTATCTGGTGCATATTCATCTCAGATACTGTTGTATTCACCACTTTATATGGGTTTTTTATAATGGTTTATATGGGTCTTTTAAAAATTTTCCATGTCTCTACTTAACTCTATGAACAGATGGAATTCAGCTATAGTAACAGTTTTAAGTTTTCTTTGCTAATTCCTTTATCTGTGTCAGTTCTGAGTCAGATTCAATTCATTTTTCTTCTCATTATAAAATCATGTTTTCCTGCCTCTTTACATGCCTGGTAATATTTGATTGAGTGTCCAACGTTGTAAATCTTATCTTAGGTGCTGGGTAATTCTGTTTCTGTAAATCTCATACAGCTTTGTTCTAGGATGCATTAAAGTTAGTAGCAAACAGTTTGCTTGAGCCTTTGGTCTTAATTTGATTTCTTAGGTGGGTCTAGAGCAGCACTCAGTTTTGGGCTGATTCCTGAGGCAAGAGCCTCCTGGTACTCTACCCAGTACCTTTTGAATTATGACGCTTTCAGTCTGGCTAGTGAGAATAGCCATAACTTTTAGCCCTGTGTGAACACCAAGCCATCTTTCTCTACTCTTTTCAAGCGTTCCTTTCCCTGGCCTTGGGTAGTTTCCTCATGTGTCTGCATTGAATACATTCCTGGTTACTCAAGGCAGAACCTCTGTAGATCTCTAGGGTTCTCTCTCTTCCTCTCCATTACCATGTCCCATGAACCCTAGCTGCCTTGGTCTCTCCAACTCTTAGGTCTATGTCAACATAGGGAGTCCACTGAGCTCTACCTCAGTTCCTCCTGGAAGTGTGCCATGGCCTAGGAACTCTCTCAAGGCAGTAAGCTGGGGCAAATGCGGGGCTATTCTCATTGGTTTCTCATCTCTCAGGGAGGACCATCTTTTGTTGCTTGATGTTCACTCTCCTGAAATCTGTTGCATATTTTGTCTGTCCTCCAACCCTCTCCCCCCCATGTACTTCAAGCAGGAGGGTAAACCCATTCCAGTTATTCTGTTTTGACAGAATTGGAAGTCCTCACTCATTCTTACTGTCACTGCCTTCTGTTGAGCATCTTCTTCTTTCCTTCTCTGTTCTACCATTACACCTCTGTCCACAGCACCTCTCCTTGCAAAAACAAATTCCCCAGACACTGCTTTCTCTGTTGCTGTTTACTTTCTTGAAAGCGTGCGCAATGTGCAGTCTTAACAAGGGGCCAAGGAGTGAAAAGCAAGGTCTATACATTGTTATTTCCTCTGCTCACCACTCCCTCATAGCTCAGGCTGGTTTCTACTCTGACTCTGCTGAAAGTGTTCACTAATGACCATAATATCGCCACACCCAATAGTCCTTTCTCGGACTTGAGGCTGATGATCATTTAACTCCAGTTCTTTTGGCCTCTTGCTCCTATTTGCCTATATGATGCCATATAGAACTGCCTGGCTTAGAGTCCCTGTCTTGTGCAGATGTTAGAATGTAAGTTCAAAGTGTAGAAATGTTGATCTGTTCTGTTGACTAATGCATACTCAGTGCCTAAGTGCCTAAATCAGTAGCAGTCGTGTAATGGGTATTCAACAAATGTGGAAAGAATGAATGATACATAGTTGGTGCTTAGCACCCTCCTGCCTTGTACCACCCATCATCCCTCGACAATCTCTTTCAAACCCACAGATCAGTTGCCTCTCAAATCCAGATCCAAACTCTCTCTAGTCAGCTTATCTTCTGGCATTTGGATCATTGTTGAAAGTACTGCCAATGCCTCAAAATTAGCATGTCCAAAACCAAACTCATCACTTATCTTAAAATTGCCTGTCATGTTTTCTCCACTTTTTACAATTCACTTAATCACTAGGCTAGAGACTTAAGGCACACATGATTCTTTTCTCTTCCTTCCTTTCCCTCTCTATTACCGGAACTGATAGTTGCTCTTACAGAAATCAATCACATCTGCCTCTAACTCTCCATCCCCACAATCGAGGTCCCTACTGGATCAGCTCTCCATGGTACAGGTCTTTCTCAGAGGCTCCTCCAGCATCAGGTCACAACGCACCCTACACCTGTGTCCTTGGCCTCAACCCAGGAAGATCGCTGTTCTCTGAATACATCCTTTGCTTCCTATCCTTCTTCTCCTCACCCCATTTCTCTCTGCTCAGATATCATTCATCATGAGGCCGTCCTCAAATGTAACATCCCCTATGCCTTCTTTGACTCCTCAGATTAGAAATGACCCTTTAGCTTTCTCATTTTTACCATCAAGCATAGCACATATCACATGGTCTTAAATACGCTGTAAATATCAACTGTTTGTCATTAGAAATCTTATCTTCCTAACCTGGGTGTAAGCTTCTTGACATCAGAGACCTTCAAAAATGTCTCCAAAAAGTCACTGTGCCTGGTTCAAGATAATGACAACTCATAGAAGCTTGATATCCAAAATGTTAGCCAACTCAACATCTCCTACATCAGAAAACTCAACTAGCACACAAGGTTCCCATAAAAGGAAAACGTTAAAAATCTAGTAGAAATAGAAAAATTATTGCAACTTACAATTGTAATATTTACAGGTATTTTCTTTTACATTATAATTCAAAACTGCTTTTCTAGCAATAGTATTTCTGATTTATACCTCTGATAAGTGTACACTTTGTGTTTCTTTTTTCACATTTTAGGGGAAATTATTTTGCTTGAAAAGAATTACTGAATTAATAAGGTTTGCATAATTTCATAACCCATTTCTCCAAAGATATCCACAATTTTACCAACAATCAGCCAATACTACTCTCATCACAAATCCTGTGTCTTAGGGATGACTCGACTTCATTTGAAGCCTTGAACTGGAACTCTACCTCTATCACTAGCTGTGTGACCATAGCCATCTCACCATACCTTTGAGCCTCAGATGATTTAAAGACAGAGTCTGGAAAAAAAGAGTCTTACCTGCCATGTAAGGCCATTATGAGGCTCACAGAGATAGGATACTTTCTGCAAAAACAGATTCAAATTACTATGGTCTCTTATTCACTCAATAAACACTTGGAGCTATGCCCAAACCTTATACCACATTCGGCATGTATAAAGCCAAATATGATGCTCTAACTGTCCTTAGGGGCTCACACCTCAGGCTGGGGAGACACACGTGTAGATGGCAGTGTTGCAGGCAGTAAGTGACAGAAACATGGACGATGCACAGTGGGGGATGAGGGGGTGCTCAGTTCTCTCTTGGGGAAAAGGAAAATAGGAACAGCTTCACACATAAGGCCATGGCTTGAGCTCTAATCACCTTCTGTCATCTCACCGATTATCACGAACCCCTTCCTCTTTTCTTCATCCTTTAACCAAGCTAGGTCTCTATTGCTTTACAGGCCCACAGTTTCTCATCTATAATTCTAAAAACTGAAAAGCTCCAAAAACCTAACTTATTTGGTGGCATACGTGACCCAAACTGATGTAAGGCTCTTCTTGGTCTCAGTATTTTTCCTACTTGTCAGGAAATCCTAGTTAATGATTCCATCACTCGCCCAGCACCTCAACCAGGACCTGAGTCGTCTTTGGCTTTTTTCTCTCACCTTCCAAACCCAACCAGCCACTAAGTGTACTCTCGCTGCCTCTTCCTCATGGTGGGGGCATGTCTCACACACTGTGGGATATTTGGCGGCATCCCTGGCATCTACCCGACAGAAGACAGTGGCCCCCTCCCCTAGGTGTGACAACCCAAAGTCCCACCTGATTGAGAACCACTACCCAGACAGACTTCTCGGCCACGTCTGGAAACATAAGCTGATCAACGGTTCCGGCGCTGACTATCCCCCAGATGGGAACTATGAGGAAAGAAGACTCAGACTCCATTAGCTGCGCTGTTCGGGGAGTGTATGACCGACTCAAGTAGGCCAGAGTGACTCTTCAAGGGGGACTAGTACTCTGTGAGGCCGAGATGAAGCCATTTTGTTACAGTTCTGGAATTCCAGGTTTCTGCATTAGTTTGTATTAATGTTCTCCGGACCTTGACTTATTCAGTGGCATTGAAATATCTAACGAGAGAGATACAGGGTGTCGCCATTTAATGCCACTCACCACCCCCAACTCTATCTTGAAAAACGGAACATCCAAAAATAAATAAACTGACTGACGCATTTAACTACAAATAAAGGGTCCCACAAAGAGTATAAGACACAAGACCATCTGGGGGATGAGAAAGGGACAGAACTCGGGCACAGTACCCACCTGTGGTCGACACGACGTTCTCGGGACTTTCACTGCAGAGCTTTGACAACAGACTGGTCTTGCCAGAACCTGTGAGGCCTATGCAAACCAGGTCATACTCAGGTCGTGCAGGTGGTGGTCCCTTGCAGCAAAGTGCTCTAAAACACTGCCAAGAGAGGGGGAGAAATGTGGCTCTTTTAAGCAAGACTGGACACAAAGCTTAGTAACATTTGCAATGACTAAGTATTAAGAAGTAATTAAATAACCTATTCGTTTTAAGAAGCAAAGGTAACTTCAGGGTGGAGAAACCATCTTTTTAACCAAGTGTTCAAAGCTAACATTCCCAGGAATGAGACCTACAGGGACTTCACGGCTCCCCTCCTACTGTCACTGGCACCCTGAGAAGGGCAGGACATCATCGCTCAGCTCTCCTACCAAAAATGCACAGCCTGAATCTAAGCATGAGACAACTTCAGACAAAACCACGCTGAGGAGCACTCCACAAGACGGCTGACCTGTTCTCTAAAATCTCAAGGTCTTACAAGTTGAAGAAATGCTGAGGAACTGTTCTAGGTTAGAGAAGACTAGAGACAGGGTAACCGAATGCAATGTCTTCCGGACTGGACCCTGGACCCTTGGGACAGGCGGAGGAAAAATGGCAGAAATGACATTGGGACAAGAGGTGAGGGCTGACTAGAGGCTGCACAATTGTACACAGGGTTGCAGAGGGTCTAGGTTCCTGAATTTCATCGTCGTACTATGCTGATAAAAGGAAAATCCTTGTTCTGAGAACACACATTCTGAAGTATTTTAGAGATGAAGGGTCTTGATGTCTAATTGGTTAGAAGAATTTCTAAATCTATGTCCATCGTCAGCTCTATACAGTGACGAGTGTGATAGAGCAAACACGGTTAAGATGTTAATGACCAGAGAAGCGGAGAGTCATAAGAAAATTCCTTGTATTCATCTTTTAATTTTTTAAAAATATTTCTTTATTTTTGAGCAAGAGACAAACAGAGTGTGAGCAGGGGAGGGGCAGAGAGATAGGGAGACACAGAATCTGAAGCAGACTCCAGGCTCTGAGCTGTCAGCACAGAGCCTGATGTGGACCTTGAACTCACCAACTGTGACACCGTGACCTGAGCTGAAATTGGACGCTTAACCGACTGAGCCACCCAGGTGCCCCTGTATTTGTCTTACAACTCTGGTATTATTTCAAAAATAAAAAGCTTTTACAAATCATTAAATTGAGCCCTTGTATCTACCTCTGCCATCTTGACCCGTGCCAAATTCTGTTTCAGGTCAACTGACCTCAGGGTACTGTGAACAGTTGTACAGTTTGTGCATGGCAAGACCTGTTTGCTCTCCAAGAGTTACAGGCAGGGGGATTTGGGAGACTGGAAATTAGGCAGTTTATGATCTTTTTACTTACTTGACAATCATTTATTAGGGGCCAATTATGTGCCAACTTGTAGAACCCTCAGTAATTCAGGAGAGAAAATGAGGGACAGGTGGGGGAGGGAGACCTATTGATTGCTAGATCATCTGGAGATCCCAAGAGAAAAGACCTATGAAAAGTCTGTGCTAATTCTCATTCAGATAAAATCTGAGGCCTAATTGGCTCTCTTAAGATCAATTTGACTATTTCTCTCTCATACTTCTCATATCCAGTTAGTCAACAAATCCTGTCCATGACTCCTCTGAAAGAGCTCTAGAACATGCCCGCTGCTCTCCAGTCCAAGCCACCATCACCTAGACAATATCAACATTCTCCCACCAGTCCCGGGATATTCATTCTTGCCCTCTCCATTCTCCATGAGGCAGCCACGATGATTTTTTTATAAAAACAAAATCTGATCTGATCTGCTTAAGCCCCTTCCGTGACTTCCAACTATTCTAGGATCCAAACACTTAGGACCTACAAAGTCTTCCAGGATCCGCTCCACCAATGTGCCCCCCCGCCCCCAGCCTCTTTTTGGGTCACTCTCCAGCCACTCCTCCCTCACTTTGCCCCCAATCATGACAACCCTCTGGCAACTCCAAGCACTCCCAGATGCTGTTCCCTCTTACCCCAGATCTTAGCTCAGTGGACTTGTCAGCTTTTAGGTCTCAGCTTCAGCACCCCTTCTCCAGGGGCACCCGATCTGTTTCTATGAGAATGTGAGCCATTTCTGTCAAGCTCTCACACACGTTTGTCAATTCATCACACAATTACAGTTTCCTATTCATCACCAAACTGTGGGAACCAGACCTCTCCATCTTCATCCCAGTGTCCCCAGGGCTTTGCGGAAGACATGGCACATAATCTACCCTCAACGAATAAATGTAGAAGGAAAAACCCATGACACTGAAAGTTCACCTAAGAAAAAAAAAAAGAAAATGTAAAGGCTAATGGGAAGCTTGATCTATGTTCTCTTGGGGCCCCTCACATGTCAAGAAAAAAAAGTATCAAACTAAGAGTAACCCTTGACCCTTTCACTTTACTTCAATGCCATAAGTTAGTCCAATTTAAGAGTGATTGCACTGTACAGGGTCTACTTTCCCAGTATGAGAGAGCTTCTTTTTGTCCCCAGTACACTCTTCCTTGGCTCTTAAGAGGTTCTCCCTACTTCTGGTAAACAATTCTAAGATCATCTAATCCATATTCTTCACAAATTAAACTCTAATCATATTTCCTGTCTTTTCAAGCCTGAGGAGCCCTAATTGTTTCAGTCTGCCGGCATACAGCAATCCCTACTGCTCCATCACATTAGTTCTGTTCTTGGCGTTACTTGAGCTCCATTATGTCTTCCTCTTACAAGATTAATGACCACAACTATAAACAGCACCCTAGATGCCAGCACATCACATCCTGGATGCGTACGATGGCTGGCTGATACCGTCTGACATTTTGCAAATTTTATCTGTGAGTGCCCTGGACTCACGGGGAACTTTCCTAAGGGGCAGGTACGTATTTGCATGTATCTACGTATTCCCTCAAAGAGGACCACTGGCTAGCCGCTATTTACTATGTCAGACAACACCACCAGTCACACTGTGGTTTCTCTTATTGGGCTGCTTTGATCTTCACTGGGAAAAGAGAGGAGACCCGATTCCTGCTCCAGACTGCCGCTTTCTTGCTCAGCTTCTCTCCTAGAATTCTCTCGGGCCATCTTCTAGAGGGGGACTGGACCAAGTTTCCAGGTCGAAACAATCAAATCTTAAATACAGAATAAAATTATAGGTGACGGTTCACTATCTGGCTCTGTTTAAGTTATTCAAATGCTAGTATTACTCAACGTACTTTGGCCAGAAGTTCCAAAATTTCACCTTTATGTTTTTGTTTTTAATGTTTCTTTACTCTTGAGACAGAGACAGAGAGACAGAGACAGAGCATGAGCAGGGGAGGGGCAGAGAGAGAGGGAGATGGAGAATCTGAAGCAGGCTCCAGACTCTGAGCTGTCAGCACAGAGCCCGACGCAGGGCTTGAACTCACAAACTATGAGAGCATGACCTGAGCCGGAGTCAGACACTTAACGGACTAAGCCCCCCAGGCACCCTCACCTTCATGCTCTTTTTAAAATCCAAAATGTAAAAATGTTTGCAGCCAAACTCAATATCTGTATCACCTGTTAATTTTTCTCTAGGTCACTAAGGCACTTTTGGCATGAAAAGCAATTTAGCAGTGACACTGTACTCACACAGATCTTTCCATCTCCTCTAGGTTCTCCACAGTGATGGTTAAGACACCTAACATGACATGTCTCCTCTCCCCCAAATCTGTTTCCTGAGTTCCAGGCTCTGTATTTTCAACTGTTCTGGAATAACTCAAACTAAATGGGGGGGAGGGGGGAGCCTCCCTCCACCACACACACAAAACCACAGTCTATGGAAATCAGGTATTTCGGAACATAAAAGGCACAAAGGTTAGACTGACAATCATTACAAGATAGAATCTTTGAAATAAATCACAGAACCTTTGAATATTTATTTGAAATAAATAAATCCTATGCTTGGCAGGAGTAGTGTCAGATTTTGAGCCAACAAAATAAGGCTCTTAAAAATATGCTATTTCAAACAGGGAAAAGAATGTTCATGTTTTTTTGAGTCCGTTCCTAAAAACTCTACAGTTTTCACTTGTTTTTCATTTTAAAACTTAATGAAGCTTCAGATCTCATAGTCCATTTACTTAAAATTACTCATTTTGGCCTCTAGACTATACTGTACCCAAGTTCATTGTGTCTGTCTCCTAAAGCAGCTCTTGCATTGTTAAGAGTAAGCCCCTTTCACTGCCGTACAATGCTAAACACAATGCCGTCGGCAGTCCTGACAGCAAGCAGCAAACTCAGGCCCCATTCCCAGGCCAGACAGTGAGGCATTGTGTGGCTCTGTTCAGCCTCCATAAACCTATCCATGCTTCAGTTTCCTCGTGATTAACCAGTAATGTTTTAACACTATCTGCCACTTCCTTTCTTCAGGAGGACGTTAGGAGGCATCAGTTCAATGCATTTTGCTACAAGAAAGGCACCAGAGCGATACATCACTGTTCATCAGGAGGCTCGTTTCCCTAAGGCATCCTAGGTGACAGTCGTTTCCTCGGGCAAGGGCCTGGCAGCCCACCATGCAGCCCAGACACTGGCACTTCCCTTGGCCAGGCCGCAGCAGCTTCCAGAGGGCTCCATCCCCTTCCAGTCCAACCCAAGACACTAAAGACACGCAACCCTTGGCCCTTGCTTGCAGCAGGGAGAAGTCTGCGTTGTAACCATGGGGGTGGGGGGGGGGAGGGGCGTGTGCAAGCAAGGTCACGGTCTCTTGTCTAGACTGCTTCAGTTCACAGGTCTTCTCACACAGGGTCTGTTATGACACGTTCCTTTTCAAAAGGACCCAGTGTATCTCTGATTGTGCCAGGACGCAGTATGTTTCCCCTTAGCATAAATCCACAAGCTTCCACCAATGTCGCACGTGAGGAAACGGTGTGCCAAGGTCTTGAGAGAGGGCAAAGTCCGGAATCACCAGTAATATCTACGTCGTAGACTTTGGACAAATCATATAATCATATAATCTTTAGCAGAAAGGCAGATTAACTAAAAGGCCTAAGCAAAAACCTTAGCAATATTTGCTTAAAGGAGACTGATGACTTGTACTGCGGGGGGCGGGGGTGGGGGGTGGGGGGAGGTGGGAAGCCAA